GCCCAGAAAAAAATGCATAACCCCCACATTTGAAATTTATATTGAATTTATAAGAAATATGTATCAAACTATTAATTGCGATCGAGCATATGACTTTTTAAAAGCTTAAATCATGATTTTGGTGCTAATTAATTATTTTAAGTTAATTTTTTCGTGACCCTTATAAATACCATGTATTTCCCAAGTTCGATAATACTAAAGAAACGAATCGTGGTTGCCCAGAAAAAAAATGCATAACTCCCACATTTAAAATTTATATTGAATTTAAAAGAAATATGTATCAAACTATTAATTGCGATCGAGCATATGACTTTTTAAAAGCTTTAATCATGATTTTGATTAAAGAATGATTAATTAATTATTTAAAGTTAATTTTTTTCGTAACCCTTATAAAGACCACATATTTTCCAAGTTCGATAATACTGAAGAAACGAATCGTGGTTGCCCAGAAAAAAATGCATAACCCCCACATTTGAAATTTATATTGAATTTATAACAAATATGTATCAAACTATTAATTGCGATCGAGCATATGACTTTTTAAAAGCTTTAATCATGATTTTGGTGCTAATTAATTATTTAAAGATAATTTTTTTCGTGACCCTTATAAATACCATGTATTTCCCAAGTTCGATAATACTAAAGAAACGAATCGTGGTTGCCCAGAAAAAAAATGCATAACCCCCACATTTAAAATTTATATTGAATTTAAAAGAAATATGTATCAAACTATTAATTGCGATCGAGCATATGACTTTTTAAAAGCTTTAATCATGATTTTGGTGCTAATTAATTATTTAAAGTTAATTTTTTTCGTAACCCTTATAAAGACCACATATTTTCCAAGTTCGATAATACTGAAGAAACGAATCGTGGTTGCCCAGAAAAAAAATGCATAACCCCCACATTTGAAATTTATATTGAATTTATAAGAAATATGTATCAAACTATTAATTGCGATCGAGCATATGACTTTTTAAAAGCTTTAATCATGATTTTGGTGCTAATTAATTATTTAAAGTTAATTGTTTTCGTGACCCTTATAAGTACCATGTATTTCCCAAGTTCGATAATACTGGAGAAACGAATCTCGGACGCCCAGAAAAAACTACGATTATGCCCTCATTTAAAAATTATGTATAATACGTGTAAATATAAAATTAGAAGTGTAAATCAGATGGGAAACATGTTTTTTATTTGTAATAAACCATATAAAACAGTTCTCACATGAATTTTCCAAATTTTCCATAATTTAGAAAACAAATATTGTCCGGTCCATCCAAAGACAAGATTCGAATATTGCGCCACGATATTTTACCCCTCTGGCCACGATACATTTCTACTAGGGTGGTTTTATATGTAGGGTAAATATTGTTCATTTATATTAATCTTATATTGATTTTAATATTAAATTTTATTTATATTATTTTAATATTGAGCTTATATTAGTTTTGAATGGTATTTTAATATTGTTTATCAATATTGGATTTATATGCGTATGTATGTATATGTATGCGTATTATATGAGTATATATGTATGTATATCTGTACGTAAGTAGATGTGTATGTATGTGTATATGTATGTATATATATATATGTGTTTATATATATATATATATATATGTGTGTGTATATGTATATAGATATAAATATATAAGTTATGAATTAGCAAACAATATTATAAAACTGTATAAAGCCGATTGGCGTATAAATAAATAAATAAATAAATAAATAAATAAATAAACAAATAAATAAATAAATAAATAAATATAAAGCCAATATTGGTTTTAATATTAGTTTTATATGGGTTAATGTTAACAGAATAATATTATGAGCAATGTTGCTAAATTATATAGAGCCCATATAAAGTACAATATTTCGCCACGATTCGTTTCTACTAGGGTGAAGGGTTCTACACTCAGTCGTGAGAGCGCTGCTTTTGGCATTCAAATTAATGGCGCAAAATTTGAAATAAAAATTAATGAATTTTAATAATCGGGTATTTGAAACTAAATTTGGTATCACGATCGTAAAATATTTTGTAATAAAACAATAATAACAAAAATATACTAGATAATATCATATATACTGCCTGTTTAAATATACATCACACCTAATCTACTGAAATGATTTCTACACATTTTTATCTTATTAATACAAATATTTAGTGAAATTTAGTGAATAATGCGTTATAGTGTTAGTTCATTATATCATCTGTCTCTTATTTTTAACTTTTATTAGCCAATGAACATCCCGTGCAAAATTTGACATTCTTAATCATCTTCCAAGTATCTTCAGATCCGTGTGATGTATCCAATCCAAATTTAAACAGCTGGATGATTTCTAAATATTTTGTATTTCTTGTAGAAGCTTATAGTACATTTTTCATACAATTTCCTACAAGTGGTCTCTTTCCTTAAAGCGTAATATGATTAGACTAATCTGTCAAAGCACTACGTAGTATTTATGTCCTATCTGAGTTTGAAGCTGTTCTATTGCATATTGTCGAAGGGCTATGCAATTCATAATAAAAATCTTTAACAACAAATGCACAAACATAAAAGAACATGAAAATCACAATTTATCAACTGACACAAAAACAACACTGACGTTTCTAAGTAAGCAACGTAAAACATTTGACAATATTTTTTGATCGGCGGATTTAGTTCTTAGATAATAGGCCTTGCCTTTTCGCCCCAAATACATGTAAGCTTTTCTAGAGGTTAAATCTGTTGAAAATAAGATAAAAATATCAATACATATCATAAAACAACCGAATAACGCAGATAAAAGCGGACTTTTAAGCCGAGCTCTACCCTATATTTATATTAATTTTTTACGGCTAGACCGATTTCAAAAACGGGAAAGCCATTCGATTTCGTCCATTTTTTCGTCCACCTTTTAGCTCGCAATTCTGAATCGATTTTGAAAATTCAAGAACCGTTCGAAAGATATTGGTTGGAAATCGTGCTGATTAGTTTTTGGTAAAGATCGGCCGGGCCATTTTCTTGTGATAAAGTGTTAAAAAAAATTTTTTCGACGATTTATATAATTATTTTTTTCACGGTAGATACCATAGTCTTATAGATCATAATAAAATATTACGGTCCTACAACAACTCGTTTAACTTTCAAAATTCGCCAAAGTTTGCAAAAATTGATGTTGTTTTTTGGCATTTGTCAAAATTATACTTTTTATCGACGTTTACTCGAACACGCTTGAACCGATTTCAGACATTTAAAAGCCATTTTATGTATCTCGATGAGGATTATCATTTCTCAGTTTTGTGCGACGATCGGCCGAGCTGTTTCTTTGTAATTTGGAAAAAAGTGTTAAATTTTTCGTCCACATTTAAGCCCATACTACTGAATCGATTTTAAAAAATCAAAAACTGTTTGAAAGATATTAGTTGGAAATGATACTGATTAGTTTTATGTAAAAATCTACCGAGCCGTTTTTTTAACGTTTGTTAAAATTAAAATTAGACGATTTACTTGGTATAACGATAAGATAATTGATCTTAATATACATACTAAACCATTACAGTCCTACGAAAACTGGTTAAGTTATAAAAATAATTGATTTTTGAAAATTTGCTTTTAGAAAATACTCCGAGCTAACGTGTTCGTTCGTATTCAATTATGTGTAATAAATCCACTCGGAATATTAAGATATTAAGATTAATAAGAAGATTAAGTCGATTATTTACACATATCGAGAAGTTCATGTAACTTGCTTCAAGGCAAAATATCAGAATCAACTAGGGTGCATTCGCGTCCAACGCGCTGTGTGTGCTCACACTTATAAGCACAGATTTTTAGTGTTCGAGATGGCCGATAAGCGTTTAGAATCAATAACAGTAACAGTAATTGTGTTAATTTTATTACTTTCTGGATCAATTAGCTCAAAAAAAAATAAATGTGAGCTACAGCTTGCCATTTTTGCGGGATTATGAGGAATTTAAAAATTAATAAATAAATGAAATTTGGTTAGCTCATGCTCAATTAATATTAAAATTAAAATTAAAATTTAAAATTAATTAAATTTAAAATTAATTAATATTAATATTAATATTAATATTAAAAAATAATTGTGATATACAGCTTACCATTTTTGCAGGATTATAAAGAATTTAACAATTAATAAATGAATGAAATTCGGTTAGTTTAAGCTTAATTAATATTAATATTAAAATTAAAATTTAAATTTATTTAAAATTAATTAAATTTAAAAATAATTAACATTGATATTAATATTAAAAAATAATTGTGACATACAGCTTGCCATTTTTGCGGGATTATAAGAAATTTAACAATTAATAAATAAATGAAATTAGGCTTGAGCTTATGCTCAAGTTACATTCGTTTTGACAGATAGTAAAAACTGACGCTCACGCTTTCGCTGCCCTACCTCTGTGGCGTGAGCATATATGAGCGCAAAGTATGCGCTGCGAACATGCTACGATGATAACATGTACGAAGTTTTTAGATAGATAGATAGATAGATGAATAAATGTATGTATATATATATATATATATATATATATATATATTTATTTATTTATTTATTTATTTTACGCCAATCGGCTATATACAGTTAATTATATATAACAGTAATGTAACATAATAATGTTAAACTATGCTATTTTTACAAACACATACAAACACACATACGGGCACCTATACATACACTCGTACATACATACGTCCGCACATGCACTTATATGTAGACTCAAACGCACTAGTAATGTTAACAAATTCTAATAAGTATTATTTCTTTTGACAATGTTGATAAATGTATTATGTGATGAATTGAAAAAGTTTAGTTTTGAGCACTGTTCATTGACCACCATTGCTACTCTGTTCATTGGACCGTTCAATATATAGTTTTTCGTCGTTTTTGAAGTCTGCACAATACTGTTTGTTCTTAATCCTTGTCTTGGGCATATCAAATTAATTTTTTCTAAAATCTCAGGAGAATCAATCGAGCCATTTACTGTCTTATGAAAAAAAAATAAGCTCAGTAATTTGCTGTCGTTTTCTTAGGTTATTGTCCTCGCATTTCAGTAAAAATTTTTCGCTTTCATGTGCACTTATTCTTTTCGATTGCGCAAAGTGCTTAAGGTATTTTTCAAATTTCCTTTGCACTCTATTAAGTTTGTTGCTTGATAATTCAATGTGAGGTGTCCAAACTATGGAGTTATATTCTAGAATAGGCCTGACGAGTGTGGAGTACAGAATGTACAGTGTGTCTATGCTGTGGAAATCTCGACCACACCTGATGATGAAGCTAAGTGTTCTTAGGGCTTGAAGAGAAATTTTGTTAATATGCTGTGAGAAGTTTAATTTGGTGTCAAAAATAACTCCAAGGTCTTTTATAGCAGTCACTGAATTTATTTTTTGGTTTTCTAAATAATAATCTTGTTGAATTGAATTGTGGGATCGAGATAGTATCATTACTGCGCATTTTTTAGCATTTAACTTAAGTTTATTATTTATACACCAGTTGTTCAATTGCGCAATGTCTTGTTGTAACGATAATCTATCATCATCACAATTTATAGTTTTGTAGATTTTGAGGTCATCTGCGTATAAAAGATAATCGGAATTGAAGTTAGTACCTATGTCATTAATAAAAATATTGAATAATATTGGTCCCAAGTGTGATCCTTGCGGTACACCAGATATCGCTTCGTATTTTTCAGATAAATGGCCATCTAGTCTCACCTGCAGATGCCTGCCTGTTAAGTAAGATCTAAACCAGTCTAATATTTTGCCCCTGACTCCATACCGCTGTACTTTCCTTAACAGAATATCGTGATCGACGAGGTCAAACGCTTTACTGAAGTCTGTGTAGATTGTATGGACATCCAGGCCGTTGTTCATTGCGCCTAATATTTGTTCTGCATATAATAGTAGATTTGTTGTTGTAGATCTGCCACCACAAAAGCCATGCTGTTTTGTGGTTATGATATTTTTAAATGACCACGACAATTTTGGTAGCACTAATTTTTCGAACAACTTAGAAATAGCAGATTGGATACAAATGGGACGATAGTTATCGGCTGTTGTTTTAGATCCAGATTTATGGATTGGTGTTATATAAGCTGATTTCCAAGCTGATGGAAAACTACCGTGTTGTAAGGATTTGGTGAAGATGTGTGTGAGTGGTTCACAGAGACTAGCGGCGCAATTCTTGAGAAGTGTGTTAGGTAATCCATCTGGACCGGCTCCTTTTTTCACATTTAATTTTAACAGTTGATTGTATACTTCATCAAAACTCACATCTACGTTTGAGAGGTCGGCGTCGATGGTATTTGCTTCCTCCTCATATTCGTTAGATGTAGTTTTATTGATGCTAGATGAATAAGTATTTTTGAAAAAGGATGCAAATAGGTTCGCAATATTTTCTCCTTCATGAGCCACTAAACCATTCCAAGTCAGAGTGTCAGGTGTATTTGAATAATTTTTTTTTTCTTTCTTTCACAAATGTCCAAAATTTGGTACTGTCAGATTTAATTTTATTTTCCATTTTAGTAATGTAGTTTTCATAACACTGCTTGCTCAATTTCTTGCAATCATACCTTAGTTGGCAGAATTCATTATATGTGGATCTGAACATATTTTTCTTGTAATCTGTATGAGTTTTTTTTTTTAAGTTTAATGGTGGATATGAGTTCTTTTGAGAACCATCTGGGATAATTAGTGTTTTTGCAGGATAGGAGCGAAACAAACTGTAGTAAACCATTATTTATTACTTTATATAGTTTATCTACTTTTTCATCAATGTTGGTTGTCTTGTACAAATCGATCCAATTAGTGTTAAAAAAGTAGTCATTCAGACCAGTATAATCCGCTATATTAAATTGGTATGTAGGAGTCTTTTTCGGAGCGAGATGTTTTTGGGTGTTGATGTTTATGGACAAGGCTGGGTGATGAGCGTCCTCATGAGTTAAAGCATGAGAACGCTCTACAGTTGCGTGTGTATTACTGAAGCACAAGTCAAGCGTTTTTCCACTATGATTTTGAATGTTGTTAAATTGCCGATAGTTTATTAGTGACAACTCTTCATAAACTAAGCACGAACAATGCTCTTGCTGTAGGCTGCTGGGTAAATTATAATCACCTGCAATTAATATACTTGCTTTTGAGTATTTTTCGGATATTGATGTTATTGAAGATATATGCTCTTTATAAATTTCTACAGTTGATTTAGGAGGTAGGTAAACACAGCAGATAATTAGGTCGTGTGGTGCAGTTTTAATTTTCACAAAGACTTGTTCAATATTATTATTGGGAAGTGCAATCAACTCCGTTGAAAAACTCTGCTTCACTGCTACGAATACACCACCACCTCTTTCATATTTATCACTAATTTGATCTCTATCGCACCTAAAAATCGCATATGTGTTGTCGATTACCTCGGCATCAGCAATATCAGACTTTAGCCATGACTCTGTAACACAAATTACATCACTCACACTCACAGAAGATGACGCTCGAAACGTGTTCAGTTTTGTCCATTAGTTTTATTTGACTCTATTACGTTGAACACTATTACATTCTTTTCGCGTCTCTTACGATCGTTAAATTCGGCGTACATTTCATCTGCACTTACAAACTGTTCTTCAAGCGTTTTAACTTTTTCCTCAACAGATGTCACTTGTGTTTTTAGTTGCTTACATATATTATTAACTAAATCATTTTGTTCCGAAATTTTCAGAAGCTCCGTTCTAATGGCGGTAAGATTGCTTTCAACCTCACTTTTGAATGGTATAAAGTACTTACGAAATAACTTTTCCATTTCACTAATGCTAGGGTCATCTCTGTCGTCTGACGTCGTGGCCCTAACCTCACTTTTGCAATGATTGCATTTCCATTCGTTGCCGTTTATTTTGTTATCCGTCACAATTTTTTTTATGTCTTTAGATTTAATTTTTAAGCACTTAGCGTGGAACCACTTTTCACAACTCACACACTGTATATTAGAAATATTGTCATTAATTTGCTCAGAGCATAAATCACACACGAGTTTACTAGGCGCCATCTTGACTATATATATTTATTCTCGTTATTTAAGAAAAATTATAGTTTTATTCTCGTTATTTGAGAAAAAACAAAAAAAAACTTTATTTCTTAAAAATTACAATTAATTATATAAATACTTCAAATTTATAATATTATAATATATTGAATAATAATTAAATAACTGAACTGATATATGTACTGGTATAAATTATGTATAATAATCCTCGTCGAGCATAGAGATCTCGAATTTTGTACAGGTAAAAATATGCTCTATCAGCGAGGTGGTTCGTGTAATTAGATGTAAGCAGTGTCAGCGGGATGGATCCCGTAACTCCTCCGGCCCTAGATGAAAAACCTCGGGGTGCAGGTTGGTGGTTGTGGTTGGTTGTGGCTCCCTTGTTCTTGGGGTGTCTCTACTTCTGGAGTAATTTGTAATTTCTTTTTGTTGCTTCTTTGTCTGCAATACTTTAACAGAGTATAAATAATAATACTAGTTATAAATATTATATACATGATAATTGACACGATGCTGTTGTTGTTAATTCCAGTCTTCCTTGCATGAATTTGATCTTGATCTTCTTTAATTTTAGATAGCTCATTTACTTGAATTGATTTGATTGCAATTGGTTCCGTTGATTTTGAATTGTTGTAGTTTAGATTAAATCTTGGTAAAATAATTGCTTTTCCTTCTCATGAAGATTCCATATTATAGTAGTTTTTATTGTCGATACTGAATTTGCATTGATGAGGTAGTTTCAAAATAAAATTTCCTTTAATAAATTTTGTTTCTTCTTGATGATTGCAAGACATATCAATCCTTGATTATGTATTTATTAAAAGAATATAGTGTGCATCATTTATTTGCTCTACGATATTGTGAGAAATGTTAACCTGAATCTCGTTACAAGTTTCAATCTGCAATCTGCATCATCAAATTGATAGTTATTATTGCCAGTTGTAAGGAAAGGTTTAGGTGGAATAATGACTCTATTTTTGGTATTTGGAATTGGAAACAATTTATAATGTTTATAAGTTTCAGGTAGAGTAATAGGAAATTTGATAAGAAAAACATTTTTTTCATCCGTATAATAATATTGAGTTTTTAATAAATTGTAATATTTGTAAAGATTATTATCGCTTATGGAAAATGGTAGGGAATCTCTACTGTATAAATCAGTGATTCCCAACCTTTTTTGGGCCCCGCCCCACATTGAGGTTTATAACAATGTTATGCCCCCCCCTCCTACAACTTTTTTTTTGTTCGCTATTAAATTGTTATTAAACATCAAAGAAAAATTTCAGAATAAGCAAACAAAATGGAAAATTCAAACTAATTTTTTACTGTTTTTTTCGAAATTTATTTAATGCTGCGATACTTTAGCTTGCATGCTGCACAAAGATTTTATATTAGGTTTTTACTTACTGAGGTTCAAACCCGAGTCTCCACGTCATGTTATTTCAAGTCTATTTCCTTTTTATAAATAACTTATAGCAAATTTTTGTACATACGATTACTTTTGGGCATTTGGTTTCAGTTTCTTCATAAAGCCATTTCTTAACTTCTACTTAGCTAGTTAACATTTTCTTAACTCAGAACGGAATTATATCTAATTTTTATATATTTTTTTTTGTTAAATCTTTTTTCTTTTAACCGGAACTCAAATTTCTAGTTATCAAGTTAGCAACTAAGTAAATGCGCATTTTTGTTACAAAATCGAAGACAATTTTTGCGTAGAATCAACTGGGCCCAGTTCGAATTCAACCTTCGCACAGGTCACTTCGGGCACGCAAATAAAAATATTTAATTCTTATCAGTGTTATCTAACAGTGCGTGAGTCACAACACACCAGTGTATTGTTCGTCGACCGAATTAACTATGGCGAGTCCCCAGCCGGGGGACTCAGGTATATCGCTCGCTATACCGCTTGTCGAAACCATCGAAATTTTACATGACACTTCTACAACTAATTCCGAATTTGTCGCAAAACAAGTAAACTGTGTTAATAATGTACAACCGGAGTGTAATCAAGAATCCACAATTAATAATAAAACTAACGTAATGGAAACTGACAGTAATATACCGCTGCCAATACCCTCTACTTCCAAGGAAGGTTGGACTACGGTTTACAACAGAAGACACAAAAGTATTCCGACAACAGAAGACACAAAAATAATTCCGACTGCAGCTCTGAAGGTAATTCTGTGTCAAAAAAGCTAGAAAGTAACTACTGGCTGCATTCAACATCGAACAATATCTACAATGTTTTAAATAACATACAGCCAGAACAAACAGTGAATACCGCTGCCCCTATTCCAAAACCGCCACCGATCTTTGTTAACGGTGTCGAAAATATCAATCCCCTCACAGAATTATTAAGTGTAAATGCGCCAGGAAAATATAATATACAATTAATCAACAATACGCAGGTCAAAGTCACCCTCACAGACGCTGAAACTTATAATAATATTCTGAAATTACTAAAAGAAAAAAATACCGAAATGTATTCATTTCAGTGCAAATCGGCACGTTCGTTTAAGGTCGTCGTTCGGAACTTACACTCCAGCACAGAAATTGAAGATATCGCCACAGAATTAACAACCCATGGTCACAAAGTAATGCGAAGCACTAACATGAAACACAGGTTTACTAAGGCTCCTATGCACATGTTTCTTGTCGAATTGGAACAAAATCCCAACAACAAAGAAATCTACAAAATCGAATTTATTTGCCGAACTAAAGTGAACATCGAGCCTAAGAATCCAAGTAAATCAATAGTCCAATGTGTTAATTGCCAAAGATACGGTCATACTAGAACTTACTGTATTCTGAAACTGCGCTGCGTGAAATGTGCCGGCGATCATCTCACAAAAGACTGCAGTTGGACCGATCGTACCAATAAAAACGTAAAGTGTGTCCTATGCAATGAAGGCCATACAGCCAATTACAAAGGATGCAAAGTCTATCAGGAAATGTGCTCTCGCAGATATCCTCCCCTGCGTCCTAAACAAACAAATCCTCCTTCCTCCTCTAATCCTATCACCTCAAACACAGTTAAACCCGGAATCTCATTCGCTGTAACTGCTCGTCAAAATAGCCAACTACAACAAGATATAAACAATACCGAAGCTATCAACCATCATCAGCAAGCTAACGACATAACAGAGTTAAAATCCATAGTTAAAACTTTAGCGGAGCAATTAAACACAGTCATGAACTTATTAACCGCCGTCGTAGCTAAACTCAAGTAATGCAACACTTCCTTCAAATTGCAGTCTGGAATGCCAACAGCTTGGCACAACACAAACGGGAATTGCAAATGTTCATCCAGCTTCACAGCTTGGATGTTATTCTGATCTCAGAAACACACTTTACTTCCAGCAGCTACCTCAAACTTCCCGGTTTTTCGACGTACACAATCAATCATCCGGATGGTACCGCACACGGCGGATGTGCAATATTAATCAAATCAAACATAAAACATCATGAATTGCAGCACTATTGTACAAACTATCTTCAAGCCTGCTGCGTTACCATTGATCATCCTTCAAATAAACTTATCCTAGCCGCAATCTACTGTCCTCCTAAACATAAAATCTCGAGTAAGCAATTCAACAATTTCTTCAACTTCTTGGGACCCAAGTTTATTGCAGGTGGAGACTACAACGCTAAACACATCTTCTGGGGCTCAAGACTAACCACTACGCGAGGCCGGCAGCTTTACCTCTCTATCCTGGACAATAACCTACTACACGTATCGTCTGGCGAACCAACCTACTGGCCCAGTGATACATACAAAACATCTTCAGCTAAATCAAGTCTTGATCTTTCTTCGGATCACTCACTAGTCATCATTTCATATAACTCCCTGTCTCCTGTCCAATTAAATAATAGGTACTTAACAAATAACAGCACAAACTGGTTTACCTTTCAGAATTACATTGCTGATTGCTTACATTGCAACGTTCCTCTAAAAACCCACGATGATATAGAAGCAGCAGTGTACAACTTCAACAAAATAATTACAGAAGCAGCAACCTTTTCCACTCCAAAATCCCAGACTTTTACTACGCCTGTTTGTCCTATTTACATCAAGAAACTTATAGCCCAGAAGAGAAAACTCCGCAAAATTTAGCAATGTACAAGATCTCCAGCCGATAAACATAATCTAAACAAAGCCTCTAGAGAAATCAAACATCTACTGTCTGACTGGCACAATCAAAAAATGGAAAATTTTCTAATAAACCTTTCTACTACTGACAAATCTCTTTGGAGGGCTATCAATAAACTTAAACGTCCCACACAAAGCAATCCGCCTATTATTAATAAAAATGGACTATGGGCTCGCACCGCACAAGATAAAGCCAATCTCTACAAAGTAATGCGAAGCACTAACATGAAACACAGGTTTACTAAGGCTCCTATGCACATGTTTCTTGTCGAATTGGAACAAAATCCCAACAACAAAAAATGTACAAAATCGAATTTATTTGCCGAACTAAAGTGAACATCGAGCCTAAGAATCCAAGCAAATCAATAGTCCAATGTGTTAATTGCCAAAGATACGGTCATACTAGAACTTACTGTAATCTGAAACCGCGCTGCGTGAAATGTGCCGGCGATCATCTCACAAAAGACTGCAGTTGGACCGATCGTACCAATAAAAACGTAAAGTGTGTCCTATGCAATGAAGGCCATACAGCCAATTACAAAGGATTCAAAGTCTATCAGGAAATGTGCTCTCGCAGATATCCTCCCCTGCGTCCTAAACAAACAAATCCTCCTTCCTCCTCTAATCCTATCACCTCAAACACAGTTAAACCCGGAATCTCATTCGCTGTAACTGCTCGTCAAAATAGCCAACTACAACAAGATATAAACAATACCGAAGCTATCAACCATCATCAGCAAGCTAACGACATAACAGAGTTAAAATCCATAGTTAAAACTTTAGCGGAGCAATTAAACACAGTCATGAACTTATTAACCGCCGTCGTAGCTAAACTCAAGTAATGCAACAC